TCTGTCTGTCTGTCTGTCTGTCTGTCTATCTATCATCTGACTCTATCTATCTATCTATAATCTGATTCTCTGAATCTATCTATCTATCTATCTATCTATCTATCTATCTATCTCTGACAGACTGTATTGCCTTCAAAACATTCAAACTTTAAGCTTTTAAAACTACTTTAAACTTCAAACTATTTCAGACTGAAGACCATCAAACTTAAAACTTTTTAAACTTCTTAAACTTTTTAACTTTTCAAACTTTTTTAAACTTTCTGGTCCGGCTTTCTCAAGCCAACTTAAAGTTTGTCTAGACGAACTTTTTTATCTAGTTTTAATTACTGTACCATGTGCCTACTGAAAAATTAAACCCATCTTGATATTTAAAGCAATCTGAAAGGGGGGAAAGGGTTTTTGTTAAGAAGTTGTGATATCCATATATCAGAATATAAGGGGGGTTTATGAACAGAACAGCAGTTAAACTGTGAAATATCAGGAAGTTGTGTTTTCTCATCACCTGCAGAGCTTAACACGTCTCATCTAGACAGCAAACACACTGACAAATGGATTTTTACATAATCCAACTCACACACTCTACAATCTTCAGGCTAAAGGTTGTATACATTTCATGAAAACACAAACATCTTGTTAAGCTTGATATTGTTTAACCTTTGCCCACACACACACACACTGTCACACACACACACACACACACACACACACACACACACACAACCTTGGGGAGCTAAATTGCTTATTAAAGTTGCTTTAAATTAAAGTCAGATCTTATGTAATGTAAGCTGAGTTGTGTGCAAGATTTTTAATAAGAAATGCACACATGTCACACTCTCAGAGAACAGGCTGTGTGGTTCAGAAAGCCCTAATAAACAAGTAATGCTGCACACAGCTGTGTCTGAAATAAACAAGACTCCAGAGAGTTTGGCAGATCTGTGCACTGCAGTGAGGGAACACCATGTGTAGGCAATGATTAGACTGAAATGCATGTATTCTCAAATAATGTTATCCCCAGAAAGCATTGGTTGACTTTGTTAACTGAGTGGTAGGAAAATAACTAGCTAGTTTTAACCTGTTTTCATGTAGCTCAAACACTAGATCACAGTATAATAATGCTAAGGTCATGGGTTTGAATCCCAGATAATGCATGAACTAAAAAAATAGGCATAGCTTAAAAGCAGTGTAAGTTGCTCTGGATAAAAATATCTGGCAGATAGGTAGACCATCTTGGATCAGCAATAAAGAAACTATACCAGGTAATCAAGCTGGTTTTTGGAACATGTCAGCAATTTAAAGACCAGCTTGAACCAGCTAATAAATCTGTTATCAATAAAGTACAAAAAAAATGTAAAACAAAAAGTTGTAAATAAAACAAAGATATTGGAGTATGTTGGGGGGGATATAAAAATGTCATGTTTAATTCAATGGGTTACTTGTCATTTCTTTGTCATTATTTGTGAAATTTACTAGCAATCTTTGGTTTTATTTTTAGAATTATTTACTTGATTTATAATTATTCAATTTTTTTTATCTAATTATTTAGTTAATTATTATGTATTAGTTGTATTATGTATATGATTTTTACCCCCTCCGTTTTATTTAGAGGCGTTGCACATTGGACAAATCTTTGTGAAGTACGGATACATTTACCCTTTAAAAGAGCCCAGAAACCTGATTCTGAAAGTTGACGATTCACCTTATCGCTTTCAGGTATTTATATGTACTCACACTTACACAATATTTAAATAAAATGCCATGCCGTATCAGCTGTTGCTACATTTCCATATTCAAAGTCAGCACATCTGAATTAATCTCTGTCTTTATCAGATGCCATATTACTGGATGTCAACACGCTGGCCTGCTTCAGAACTGGACTATGGTGAAGCCCAACTTGACAAAAATTTATTTACCAAATGTTGTAGCAAACTAAAATATATTTGCATCAAAGAATACAAAAGGAGATATTTCACAGCAGGTTCAGAAGGTAAATATATATTTTTTATACATTTATTTATATGTGTTCTAGCAATCTACTTGGCCAAGAAGAATATCCGAAAACAAGGAGAACTAACTGAGTATGAAAAGGTATGTAGGTCAAAAGCCAGTCACACCATAGAGAAACAAGACTCTACAATGCAGTCATGAACCTGTGGAGCGATCTGTTGTTCATTTCTCAATCTCTCTCTTTGTTAGGAGTGCTATAATGCTTTACATAAACGTATCAACCACACATGGGACTTTGTTGTGATGCAGGCAAGAGAGCAGCTCAGGTAACTTTCCTTTTCCATCATTAAACGTGCACACACACACACACACTTAATGCTTCCTTCAGCCTATTACATTTAGCCCTCTATTGCATGCATTATAAAAGCAAAGTGTAAAAAATAATCATAAAAGATTATTTTTTATCACAAAATGGACCTCATTACTAAAATCAAAAGTAAGTTTTTGAATAATTATAAAACATTTTGTAAATCGTTTTAAATCAAGTAAATAATGCTGCAAATGTCACCAATAGGTAACCTACACTGTAAAAAATTATTGTGATTTTAACAGTAAAAGACTGTAAAAAGGCTACAATAAAAACCTGTTAATTGGTTATCAGTAAGTTTCCATACTATATACAGTGAATAACTGTAATTACATTTAATGTAATTTTACAGTAAAATACTGTTAAAATTACGGTTTTTGGAGATGAAAAAGAAAAAGTCATTGTATAATTTACAGTGAAAACCTGTAAATTGACAGTCCCAGAATTCCCTGCATGACACTTCATATTTTATGTTTTTTCGTTGAAATAACGGTTTCTTCTTGGTTTTTTCTTATCAGTTGTGTACATTAGTGTTTTATCTTAAATCTAATGTTGTTAAATTAATGTTTATTGCATTATTTCAGTATCATGTGTGTTACCATGATGGTGTTTAGTGTTTGTGTGAATGACACTGTGCACCTTCTATGTATATATATTAGTATTTTCCTTCTCAGCTTTTGGAAGAGCTGATTGTGATGAGCTTTGATTCATCATGTGACTTTCTCATCACCACCTGTTTTTGGTGGTTATCAGCATTTCAATGGTTTAAAACAGATATTAGTACTTCAATATGCTGGTTTATTAACATTACATCAGTTAATGAAATACGTTTTTTTTATTGTGAATTTAAGTTAAGTCTGTAAAACCTAAAATGTTTCTACCATATTTTTAACGGTGAAGTTCTGGCAACCACAGCTGCCAGTATTTTACCGTAAATGTCACAGATTTTTTTTTACAGTGTACGTACAACCATGAAAATATACGTATATATATTTTTCTGTATATTTAAATATTTGAAGTGAAAAATGTCTACACTTTTAGCTACTGATGTTAGAATATTATGTTGTTGTTTTTTAAATAAAATAAATAAATAAACAATTTTATTACACTTGACTCAACATTAGTTGAATAGATTTAGATTTAGATTTAGAACTTAACTGCTTACTACATTAAATAATCTTAACAAATTGGCCCCTAGCTGAACTTTTTTACTTTAATTTTAGCAGGGTTATTGTAGTTACTAATACTAAAACAATTGTTTTTTTAATTGTTACTAAAATAAAAGTTTAATGAAAAAAAAGAATATATATATATATATAAGTATGTATTTTATTTCATCTAGTTGCGAAGGGATCATTTCTCATTTTCATTTAGTTTAACTTGATACGCTAAAAAACTAAAACAGAAATAAAAATGAATAAAAACTGTGTAAAAAAAAAATACAAAAAAAAATGACAAAAACATATAACAGAATTACCAAAACTTTAATTCAAATTTAAAATGAAAATGGAAAATATAAAAATAAAAACTGATTTGTAATATTAATAAAAACAGAAATAGGATCTCAATGATACTAAAATAACACTGAATTTTATTTAAATATCTTTTTTAAACTCAAGTTTTATGCACTAAGAAATATTAATAATCAATAAAAAAAACAATACAAAATATTTTCTGAGGGTTGTTGTTGTACTTTACATCCGTGCATTTGCCATATGTTCATTTTCTTGTGTTAAAGGGCATCAAAACAGCGTCGGAAAGCAGATCGTATAGTGCTGGAGTGTCAGGAACAAGCTTACTGGCTAGTGAACAGATCTCCTGTAAGTGCTGAACTCTATAAACTCATAACACTTACGAAAAACACCCTGGCAATGCTTATACCATGGTATTCTAGCACAAAATGGACCTCATCATTAAATCCAAAATACATTTTTGAATAGTTATAAGTCGTATACAACATTTGTAAATCATTTTAAATCAAGTAAATAATGCTGGCAATACTTATACCATGGTATTCTTTGAAGTACATTGGAGTGCCATAGTATTGCCATCAGGATTGCCATCTTTGTCAGTTCGTAAGTTAAATAAACAGAAAACTATCATCCTGCTTATTTTTTAATGTATCTCCTGTGTGATATAGAAATTTAAATCATGTCAAATGCATTAGTCAGTGTACGATGCTTAAGCAGCGACAGCATCTGTGCCCATCCTGCACGTGTCCTCATATCTGTATCCAGCTTCTGCTTATGAAATATTCAGCCAGTCAGTTAAAAGCATCGCAAAGCAAAGGAAAAAGGGGGAAGGGGACAGAGTGAGAGGAGAATGGAAGAAAGGGAGGGCAGATACTGGCAGAAGAAAAGAGTGGAACACACTGGTGTCTTTAAAATATACTCACACATGAGTGCAAAGGATGGACAGATGTGTGTGTGTGTGTGTGTGTGTGTGTGTGTGTGTGTGCTGGTATATCGCTAATGGTTCCATCTTTTGGCTGAGCTCTTAAGAGGATATACTATTACTAAGTGACTATGTGTGTTTTAGTGTACGTGTGGCTGTCTGTGTGTGAGACTGGACACTAGTGGTTTGTTCGCCACACTGAAAAAAAAATTAATTTTATTGAAATTGGTAGTCATTTTCACAAATAACAGAAATGACGTAGTAACACATTGAATTAAACATGGAATTTTGAAGTAGAAAGACTGAAATACTGTTGTCTTGTAAAACGTACTCTAATAATCTTTGGAACTTCGAAAAATAATTTTTACTGTGTAGTTGAAAAAATATATAATTGAGAAATAATATGATTTAAAAAAAAATAATGTTGTGAAAAAATATTTAAAATATAATGTGTGTGTATATATATATATATATGTGTGTGTGTGTGTGTGTGTGTGTGACCCTGGACCACAAAACCAGTCTTAAGTCGCTGGGAACGGAAAGCTTATTTATTCGGCTTTGAGATGGTGTATAAATCTCAATTTAAAAAAATTGACCCTTATGACTGGTTTTGTGGTCCAGGGTCACATATTTACTTTGTTACACCAATTGATATTTTAGAGTAAATGCTTTTGTAAAAATGTTATAAAATTCTACAAAAGATACCAGCATGAATACAGAGATCACATTTCTAATGACTTGGCACATGCATTTCATTAGAAACAAATAACAAATGTTGTTATTGATCTGTATATCTCTTTTTGACCACATTTTCAGCCGGGGACACTGGACAGCATAGATAATGGACCGGAGAGAAGAACCATGAACACACGAGTGCAGCTGGTGAGTGAACTGACCACCACAACACAACTAACCACATCCACAACAACACATAATCCACATACACACAGACAGAGCAAGTTTCAAAAATATATGAACAAACATTCACAGCAGAATCTCTTATGTTCAAGCATCATCTACAGCTTTTTTCTCTTTATTTCTGTTTTTTGTTATCTTGCATCCTTGTTCAAGTAAGTAATCTCTAAAACATTGCCTCATTTCCTGCTGTCATTTCATTCCATTGCAAGATCTGAAAGTTCAGTGACTGTACAGATTTCGTTTTAATGGCAACATTTCAGGAAAGCTAATATATTTTGATGATATTTTGTATTTTGTCATTGTAAATTTCAGAAAATAATGCAGAATTCTACAAAAAAGAGGTAAGTAGTTTGAATGCCAAGTGTACCTTTATATATATGTGTGTCTATATGTACATGTATATGTATGTATATGTATATATGCATAGGACTGCTGAAAATTAAAATAAATCAAAATAATTAAAAAAAATTACATTCTAAAATATATTAAAATAGAAAGCAGTTTATTTATTGTAACAGTGTTTCAGCATTTCACTGTTTTTACTGTTTTTTTCTTCAAAAACCTATTGACCCTATCATTTTACCAAAAATAAGAGGAATCTGTAATAATAATCTGTAATAATAATATTTTCTTGTAAAAAGTATAGTTAGCTGACTATACATTATCCCTTCCATATGCAGCACACACTGTACTGTGAAATATAACCAAATTTATCTCCTGTCAAGCTTGTTTTTGTGTTTTTGTGTTTTTATGTTTTTAACGGCTTTAGATTGAACATAACAGATTAAGCCTGGCGAGGAATCGTGTAAAGTCCTCAATTTGCCTTGAGAGGTACTGAATGTGTGTGTGTCTTTACTCTGCCAAAGTCTTCAGGCTAGAGCTAATGGACTGTTATCAAAGTATCTTTTAAAAATAACTCTTACCATAACCCTTTGTGAGGGCCTTACGCATGTGTGTGTGTGTGTGTGTGTGTGTGTGTGTGTGTGTGTGTGTGTGTGTTGCCATAGCAACCAACCAGGATCCATTGCACACACACACACTCGCACGAACACACAATTGTAATTTGCACGGATGTGTGCGGGCGTGAAATATCAGCGGCGGATTGGCCGGTTCGTCTCATTAGCATGAGAATCAGAGGTGTTAGATGTGTTTCCTGTTCTCCCGTCCCAGCC